AGCATTTCCCAACCATAGGCACCAAACCTAAAACTATCACCATAGAAATGCGTAGAGCTTGCAAGTGGAAGAAACAACCATGCTGAAAAGACCCATTTACAACGTTTGATGACATCTCAATTGACATGGCTAGTATATTGTTTTTATGACATCTCAATTGATAGTGTTTAATGCAAAGACCTATTAACGTTGTTGTATTATGTTATTATTGTAAGTGAATTGGCAACCATATGAGGAGTACACCCCACTAGATACGCTCAGTAAAGAAAATGTCTTCTGGCGATCATATCTGATAAGTTTTCACATTGCAGAGTATTTTATGTCGGATCGTGTACGACGACAATTTAAGAAGTTGTAAGTTATTCCCGTAGAGCCTCTTAAACGGGAGAGGAGGGAGAAGGTGGATCTACACCCCACTAGTTGGATTGATGAGTTGGCTAGTGAGATAAACCACTGGCGGCAACGAGAACACAATGTTGTCTAGGCAGCCGCAGATAAATATGGAGGAATGCCTACAAAAGATTATATGACATGATACAACATGTTCACTCATAGATATGGAAGTATTCCCATGTGCCTCCCTCCCATAGTCGCAATCAAATGTGCCCCCCCCCCCCACATGCCATGATGATGAGAGGAGAATGATATATTATTTCATTTTTGAATTTTAGTTATTATTGACTTAAAATAATTATCTATTTAAAGCAGTTATTTATATTATTTTTATTGTCAACTTGTAGCGATTAACCTGTATAGGGATGCTACAAGCTGCACTTGGTGGTGAAGTATTAGCAGAGGAATCTAGACGTTTAGCATAGGCGACCCACGATTTGTTAGTGCAGAACACTCTTATAGATAATGCCGAGGAGATGGTGGAGAGAGATGTTGGAAGTGAGAGCGAGGAGACAGATGGTGGAGATGACGATAACGAGAGCGATGATGGAGATAGTGAAGATGAGGAAAGCAAAACTGAAGAGGGAGATAGTGGAGATGAGGAAGGAGAAACTCAGGGTGGAGATGAGGAAAGAGAGAGCGAAACTGATGAGGAAAATGAAAGGAGAACAAAAAGCAAAAATGATAAGGGCAAGGGTATTGCAAGTTGGTCAGAGAAATGGTTGAGGCCAAGAAAGTGAACAACGATGTAATTTTTTGAAACAAATGTAAATTAAAAAGTATGAATCTTTTTTGAGACAAAAGTTGAGTATCGAGATTGAAACTAATGTTAAGTTATTTTTGTACAATTGAAGCTACTCTATCATAGTGGCCAATTAATAAAATGTACATTCTTTTTGTTGTCATTATGTTAATGGAATCAATACCTTTTTAAGTTCTTTTTGTTGTCATTATGTTAATGGAAATTGCTTTGAAACTTGGTCAAGTATATGCCAATGTATTCTTTATGAATGGGTTTGTAAATATTGATATGATTGCATTAGCACTTCATCTTTGCATTGCATAAGCACTTCATCTTTATAGGCCAATTCATAGGCCAATCCATTGGAAATTAATCCATTGTAAAGATTGATATGATACGGTGAACGAGTAGGATAGTGCTGATAAAATTGTTGAAGGATTCATTTTTCTTGGATCATTGCATAAGCACTCCAGCACGTATGGAATGCATTCCAGGCTATTAAATAAACAGTCTGGCACCAGTAAAACGCTCTCCGGCATCTTTAAAATTCACTCCAGCAATTGAAGAACTCGCTCCGGTGAATAGTTGACTGTAAAACAGGCACTCCGGCACTTGTAAAGTGCACTCCAGCACCATTAGAATGCACTCCGGCAGTTAGTGAACTCGCTCCAACAGGTAGTTCACTATAAAATTAAAACTCCGGCACTTGTGAAGAGCGCTCTGGTATTACTAGGTCATTGTAAAATTGGCCTGACAAATTGGCACTCTGGCACATATGGAATGCACTCCGGAGAATAGTTCACTGTTAAATAGGTAGTCAGACACTTGTAAAACACGCTCCGACATCTTTAGATTTCACTCTGGCAATTGATGAATTCGCTCTGATGAATACTTGATTGTAAAACAGGCACTCTGGGACTTGTAAAACGCACTCCGACAACATTAGAATGCACTCCGGCATTTAGTGAACTCGCTCTGGTGGGTCGTTCACTATAAAATTAAAACTCCAGCACTTGTGAAGAGCGCTTCGGTATTACTAGGTCACTGTAAAATTGGCCTGACAAATTGGCACTCCGCCACGTATGGAATGCACTCCAGAGAATAGTTCATCGTTAAATAGGAAGTCCGACACGTATAAAACGCGCTACGACATCTTTAGAATTCACTCCGGCAATTGATGAACTCGCTCCGGCGAATAGTTGACTGTAAAATAGGTACTCCGGCACTTGTAAAACGCACTCTGGCACCATTAGAATGTACTCCGGCATTTAGTGAACTTGCTCCAGCGGGTAGTTCACAGCAAAATAACAACTCCGGCACTTGTGAAGAGCGCGTCGACATGTGAAGAACATCGAACCTACAGTATCCTCCCTATAAATTTTGCAGTCTGACGATTCACCGTATCACCCCGGAGATATCCTTCCTGGAAACACAAGCACTCCAACGTATACACTAAAATAGTCCAGCATAGTTGAATATGGCTATGTCAAAAAGTCCGAAGTTTTGGAGCTTCAATTCGGCAATTACGTTCCTGGTGGGTCAGTCCGGTCATGTCTCTAGGCGATTTGGCGATTTGTTTAATGTGCAGACCGGTGATTTGTAATATAACTCCGATAATGTTACTATTGGAGTGCTTCAGTCTGGCGTTTTAGATATTCGATTCGGTATATTGTTGTCTTATAAGCACTCGGGTAGTTTAGAAACTCAGTTCGGTGAAAGGTTTATTGGGGTCCGTCCGAAGAATTTGGTCGTACGTTCAAGGCACGGGAAGGGGTATTTTTGTCAAATAAAATACACTTTTTTCGGTTGGAGGTATTAGTTAGAAAAGATGGTTTTTACCAATTTTTTGAATCTTTTTTATTTTTTTCAACAATTTTTTGACAGCTCGGGACGTGCTCGGTTAGAACTGTAGAATCGGCTTGTTTAACTTTTTTTCAATAATTTTTTGACTACCCGAGACTTGTCCGGTTAGAACGATTGAATCGGCCGGTTTACCGCTTAGGCCGGTTAAAACTCCTTCTTGCTATTTTGCTAACGCTGGTTTTCCTTCATATTCTGATTTCTCATGTCAAAGCTCTGCGTTTTATTTATTCTCACTCATTCCTGCACAAAACAACCGCGAATGCACAAACACTTAATCCCCATAATATTCTTCTCTTTCACAAGAAACGTCAAACGCTTTCTCTCACTTCATAATTCGCCTTGTTTTTCGACCCACTCCTGCTCCTCAACCTCCATCAAATGGAGGGAACAACTCAACCGCGAAAACTTTATCAGCACAATCTCCTCCATTTTGTTGCAGAGACATTCTTGGGTCTCTATCTTTAACCAGGTCAACCTCTCTGCTCAACTCACCCATGACCTTGTGGCCCAAGTTCTCAGGAAAACCCTAAATCACCCCCAAATTTCCCTTGGTTTCTTCAATTGGGCCAAGACCCAACAAAAGCTGTTGTCATGATGTGAGATCTTACTGCCTCATGATCCAAATACTAACAAGGTCAGGAGTCATAGAACCGGCAAGGCCTCTTTTGTTTCACACAATCCGTTTATGGCCAGCTTCTTTGGTATTCAGAACCATGGTTGAAGCATTTAGTTGCAGGAGTTCTTCATCCTTAGCCCTTTCTCTGCTTTTAGAGGCTCATTCCAGGAAGCGAAGGAGTACTGTCGCTATTGAGGTATTCAAGCTTATGAAGATTCATGGTTACATCCCTTATGTGGAGTGTTACAATGCATTTTTTAATTTAATTCATGAATTGGGTGAAATTAAATTAGCTTGGGAAACTTTTGGAATTATGGTTCGGAGCCGAGTCGACTAACGAGGGAACCTTTCTACTGATTTTCCGCCTATTTCACAAAGAAGCGAAGGTGGCCAGGTCTCTTAATTTGTTGCAGGGCATGGAGGGTAAATCATATAAGCCTGATATTGTTGTTTATAACTTGATTCTAGACGGTTACTGTAGAAATGGGGATTTTGTCATTGCTTTTGAAGTTATAGAGAGGATTTATGGTAAAGGTTTGGAGCCTGATTTTGCATCTTATGGATCAATTCTTGATGGGTCGTGCAGATTTGGGAACATGGGCACTGCTGTTCGAGTTCTTAGAATTATGCTAGAGAAGAGATTGGTGCCAACTGTTGGGGGTGAATTTAGCCCAAATGATTGCTTCACATTAAACGATAACAATTGCATAGTCGCAGCCATTAGTTATTTACACTATGATGCTTTCATTCGCAAACTCTGTAAATTAGGAATGACCCATGCTGCAGAATTGGTTTTTGGGATAGCCCGTAGTGCTCTGGTTCCCTTGCAAAACGCTTGTTATATTGCTTTATTGAAGGCATTTTCTAGAGATAGAAGGATTAAGGAAGCTGTGAGAATGTATTTTTTGCTACTGCAAAGAGATATAGCTATGAATATTAGTGAATGCAATGTTCTCCTGAATGCACTTTTCAAGGAAGAACCATCAGAAGAAGTCAATAAGGTAATTAAAAGTGTGATTGAAAAGGGATTTTATCCAGACCCTTTGGCTATTTCTTCATATATATCTGCTCAGTGTAGCAAAGGTGGGTGGCAGGAAGCAAATGAACTTTTGTGGGTCACGTTGGAAAGAGGAGTGATGCCTGATGGGTTTGTTTGGGGTTCATTCATCAGGCATTACTGTGAAGATGGCCATCTTGATTATGCCCTGTCTTTGCATGAAAAATTTGCGAAATCGGGAAATGTTCTCAATGCACCTTCTTACAACATCCTTCTGAACCGGCTCTATAATGAAGGAAAATTAGAGGAGGCAAGCGGGATGTTTGATTATATGAGAAATAAAGATGTGACGAGTAGTGCTAGTTTCATGACTATGATAAGTTGGTTTTGTCGAGAAAAGAAATTTAGCGAGGCCAGAAAGATGCATGATGAAATGTTGAAGAAGGGACTTAAGCCTGATGAAGCTACTTACAAACGTCTCATATCTGGGTTTCCTTGACAAGGCAGTGGGCACCCTTTATCTGGGTTTTCTTAACAAGGCAGGGGCACCCTTTGATACCATCTGGGTCTGCTAAAGGTGAAGAGAGGGGCTAAAACCTTGATCCCCATTGCATATTTTGAAAAGCGCACAACTTCATGACCTTTAACCAGGAGGTGCGGATTTGGAAAGAATTGCTCAGTTGGTATTTCTACTGATTGGATTCTGTGGAACTCAGAAAATGAACCTTTATTGTTAATTGCAGAGATCTGGATCTATCAATAGGGTGCGAGCATGTCATGGCTTATGAATGAAGTTCCTACTCCACTCCCAGCATCAGAAGCAGGCACATGTGATATGACCCAACTTGTGGAAACAACGCTTGAGTATCTGAATAAATCGTCCTACATCCTTAGGGGACACTATAACACAATTTGGAAATAATTTTGTTGAGTTATTGGTAATCTTAAAGCAATATATTCCCTCTGACTGTACAAATGATGTCAGTCATGTCTTGCTTTGCTGCTTCACTCTGCCTAAGAATAATTTTTTTGCATTGTAACTGATGTTATTTATTTTGAGAATTTATATTTTTTCTACTTTTTTTGGTCTGATGAAGCAGTTTGGTGGCCCAGGCATGTCATTGCTTTTTTGGAATATCTGCTGCCTCGTACCTCTTCAACTACATCTGATTGCCATTTTCAGGTACAATTTATTCTTAAAAGTGAGTTATGTCTCTGTAAATAGGTATTGCTACATTGCTACCAAATTCTAGTTACTTCAGTGTGATAATGGAGCATCAGATAGATAGTCATATGCTTTGATTGTATTCCAAGTTTGTAGCGATTCCCTTGATAATCAAAACTAACCCTTGTTCGTGATTTCTAGTTGTAATTGGTTTTCATTAGTATGAAGAGTGGAATAACTTTAGCTGCCAATCTGATTTTCCATGTGGTTTCATGTGAGAATTTCCCAGCCATGTAGCTGTTATTTAAGATAAGCCTATAGGGCATGTGGGTGCTGATGAATGCAATGCACAATGAGACTATGCATATATCTCATGGGTGACTAGGCTTAGCTACCCTTGTTACGGTTCTGGGTGTCCTGTAGTTATGTTACTTTATCATTAAAACATATTACATCTAGTTTGTTTTGGGTAAATCAGTGGGGGAGAAGGCCCCCTACCTGTATTTTGCATTAATAGATAAGATAGAAAATATTATAATCGTATCACGATACAACCCGTTCATAGGGCACCTGCACTACATCATAGGAAAGTAACAAAGAGATAAAGTTCGGAAAATCTGGAGGGCAGACTCTCCATATGGTTGCGGCAGAGATAGATGTGGCCCTCTTTGCAAGTGCATCAGCAACCATATTAGGCTCTTGAAAAATATGTGAAATCTGGCAAGGATAACCGCACAAGGAAAGTCTATTGATGCAGTTAGCTGTAATTGTTTGAAGTGACAAAGGAGGCTTGTGACGGCCACGAATAGAATCCACCAAGAGCAAAGAATCACTCTCAATAATAAATGGAAAGCAATGGAGCTGAATAGTGAGATCAATACCTGCTTCCAACACAGTGAACTCAGCAAAATTATTACAATCCCGAGAATCTTTGAGAAAGCAGCAATAAAAAGACCTTTAGCGCCACGCGGAATTCCTCCACTGCCAGCTATACCTGGATTCTAGTAAAAAGCCCTGTCGATGTTAAGCTTAAAGAAACCAAGAGGAGGGGGAGTCCAAGAGACACAAACCATGCTGCCAGCCTTTTCCGGACACCATTGTATTGCAAGATTTTGTATTAGTGGCCTTTCAGAGGGGTGGAAAGTCCATGATTTAGCATCGGCAAGTTCTCTTACATGATAGGTGATGCGTGCAATTAAATCCTCTCTTTAAGTAGCTCTACCCCTAAAAAGACTATTGTTGTGCTCTTCCCACAACATCCATATTGTATTAGAAGATAGCATAATCCAGACATGACTGAGGCCATTAGATTTGAAGCCGACCTTAATCCACTTGCTAAGCATGAGCATCACATAAGACACTATTGAGAGCTTTTGCTACACCTTCAGGCAATGGATCACCAGAGAACCTGTGCGAAAACACACTCTAAAAGAAGATGGTTAGGACAATCATCAATATTCTGGTAGAAAGGGCACATGGAGGCCAACCCTCTAGACTGGAAGAATGATGTAGTAGGTATCCGCTAGAGAATTGCAACCCAAATAAAACATTTGGCTCTGGGATAGGAGGGGAACGACCAAAGGGCCGTAAAAGTGGGCTGAGAAGTGCCCCTATATCTGATTAATTCCCAAATATTCTTAATAGAATATCAGCTGCGGGAGGAATGAATCCATACCAAGAAATCCTTACTGGGATGTAGGGGAACCTTAAAGGACTGGATCTCTTCCCAAGCATGGGTGAGGGAGCCCGAGGTAGGAGGAGGGAGATCCCAAGTTTGAGGAATACCATGTAAGTAGTCAGAAACCTTGGGTTTAGCTAATGTACCTAGATCTTTGTGAATGTTCGAATCATAGGAATCCAAAGAGACAGCTCATAAAGCCACGGTCAGCCCAAAAATCCACCGTAGAACCATCGCCAAGAACCCACTGAATATTATGTTGAAGGCAGCTAAGGCCCCTTGAAATCCCCTTCCAAGCAAAGGATCAACCGGTGGATTGCCCATGCCAAATAGGGGATTTTATAAAATAGCGGTTCTTGAAAAACGAGAAACCAAAGCAGAAGGGTTGGCAACAATCCTCCAAGCCAATGTCATCGTCATTAAATTTTAAGAAAATGGTTTTCCAAAGTGAACACCCTTTTTCTCAGCAACCCCAGCCCACAAAAAGTTATGTTGAAGTCTCTCAATCATGTAGCATGTACTGGCAGGTAGCAAAAAGTGAATCCAGTAGATGCAGAGGCACTAAGGACAGATCTAAGCAATTGGAGTCTCCTGTCACTTTATCTATTTTATTTAGCATCTAGAGAGAGATCCTTCTTTTTTCCTTCATGTTGGTTGCCGAAAAAGTAGAATTGAGGAACTCAAGGAACAAGGTGATTCCATGTACTACTTTTTGAGTTTTGATGCTCAGTGTTACGTGACTTCGCTTCTTATCAGATGCAAGGAATTTGGCATCAACAATTCAATGCATGCATGTCACAGGAATGGAATTTCTTTTCTGAACTATATCTGTTGAGAAATCCCTGCTCTCAAAGTTTATTGGACAAATATTTCCATCTTTGAGATGGTTTTCTATATATTGATGTGGAGAAAATCCTGTTTAACTTGTATAGGTGTCCAATCTTATTGCATATATTAAAAAAAATTGCCTTTTGCTCGGTGTACCAGGTCTTAAGCTTGACATCTTATCTATTTTGTTTTTGTTCATTCAATAGCATTGTTTGTCTCTTGCCACCTAGTGGTATGTGAACTGGTATCCGTATGCTAAGTCTTGGGTATATTCTATCAGGTATTGTTTCAAGAAAGATGGTGTGAGTTCATATGCACTTTTTGCATTTTTGCAGCAAAAATTTTAGAAATGGTAATAATGATCAATTGAGATGTGCTCCATGGTAGTTATCTGCAGATTTCTATTCTTTACAATTTAATTTAGCCATACTATGTCCAAAGATTAACTTTTGTAAATCCATGCAAATTCATGACAAATCTAAGTTCAAAAGGCGTAGAAAATTATTATTCGAATAAATATTAAGTTTATCACAGGAGCAACATTTTTTTATGTATTGTGACAATTTAAATATGGAGAAATTTCTAAAATATTTGGGGCAATATCTATCAGTTTAGGACTTAGGGCATATTTCTAATTTATATGGGATGAGTTTTTATTATAAATTCATCGAAATTTTGTATATTAGTAGCATTCTTGGAAAGATCCCTGCAATGCTTTAGCGCTTTAATGGCTGTACCTCAAACTTTAAACCATGTGCAGGGGATGCACATCTAAAATAAGTTTTAGGCTAACTGTGTTTCATCGCCATACAATTTCCAAGAAAATCAGTTAACAGAATAAAAACAAAATTCTGAGAAAAGATATTCCATAGTTTGCATGAGTTGGTGAAGCACATGACCCAACTGTGGACTTGACTTGGCTTTGTGGAGTCAATACATGCATATTATCCGACTTGCTGTATGACATGATTGATTTGCTTTACGTTGATTCATAGACTCATGTATGTGAAATTGTCAATATCTGCAATCATGACTTGCCTTGCCTCTCTCTCTCTCTCTCCTGTGTATTTATTTATTTGTTTTTGGTTAATTTTTTTGACTACTTCATATTTCAAACTTCTCTGCTCACCTATTTTTACTTTGCCTTTCTTAAATTCTAAAAGGAATAACCTTTACGTAGCCTTGGAGTTGGACTGAGTTGACTCAATATAGTTGTGCAGTTGATTTACTCTATGACTTACTTGCTCTGTGACTTAGACTGATATATAAATATATGTTTTGTATTGTAGCACCCCCTTGAAATTTTGACTTTGGGAATTCCCTGAAAACCTATAACCCTGGAACATAGGAACCACGCTACCTTAGTGTGCCATACCTAGTAGTCTATAATCCTTAGGAAATCCTCAAATCATACCAAAGCCCACCCAATAACTAAATCTTACCAGATTCTGTCCGGTCTTATCGAGATCAACACAAAAAAATCCAAAAATTGCTACAATCAAACCCCAAGATGCGTCAAAATTGGACCATGCCATCTACGTTGGATTCAGCAGGGTTCCCTGCGCCAGTCAGGGGTTGATCTAATCTAGCAATGCAGGGTGCTTCGTTAGACCCGATAGGTTCAACAATGCGTTTGGCATTGCTGCCCTCTTCTGTCTTTAGAGTTCTTTTAGAAAGTTCGAGAAGATTATGGAGGTTCTAAAGGGTAATTTGATCATCTTGGACATAGTTTTGACTCCGGATTTGGCCCAATCTTAATCCATCAAACCTAATCTGAATTGAGTTAGAACTCAAAAGATAAGCCTAGGATTCGTAATCTTCAAGGAATATTCCCCGAATCAAAGCCTCTATAAAATCCTCTAACCCTCTTACCCTCCATAAAACACAACCTAAAATCATAGAAAATTCTTGGGAAAAATAACCTAAAAATTCCTAGAAAATCTTAGCAACATACTTAGAAATTAGGAATCTAAAAATCATAGGAAAACTCTTAGAAAATTATTGACTAGAAACCCTAAAACTAGGAAAACCTAGAAAACCCTATAAGACTCAACCCAAGCCAAAATCCTAGTTCTCTACCATCAGGATTCTCTACAATTTCCAAAAGCCTTAAATCAAAAACCCCTTTTAAGCCAGATTCTTCAAGAAAGAGAAAGAAGGCACAAAGGTGTAAGTGAACCCGCAGTCCCTATACAGGCTTCAACTCTGGGTTTCTAGTGTCCCCAAGTAAGTTTTCCTTTCTTTAATTTCCTTAGTTTACTTTGAGTTTATTTTCTAGTTTATTTCTTTTCTTTTCCTGTTTTCTTGGTTTCTTTCTTTCGTGTTTTGCGTGATTTCAAGCTGGCAGTTCTCAGGGAGAGCTGATATTTTGAGATCAGGATTTGTATTTGAACCTTAATTCGACGGACTCCACATTCTCCACTGAAATTTAATTGTTTAAGTTGAAAGCACGAATCAGAGAGAGTTTAATTTGAAATTCTCAGAGAGTTTGGCTGTATACAGGTAAATACAAGGAATCAAACAAAGTAATAAATAAAAACATCTGCACTTGTACTCATGCCGGATTGCCTATGTTTAGGTGCAAGACACATGCAGAGCCATTACAACACATAAACATGCACTTCTAATATATTAACTTCAATGACTTGGTGACTTAACCAGTCAAAGTCTTTTTACTTAAATTGGTGTTATGTACAGAATCTTATTTTTGCTAACTCTGGTTCATTTTAAAGGTTCTGAACTTCGAAGTAAAATTGTATACACCTTTTTATGTGAGTTATTTGGTTACAGTATATTCAATGCTATGACTTTGCTGATTATGTGAACTTCTGAAACAGGATCTCTCTTTGTTTGGTTGCATATATTTTATCCTATTCGTGCTTTATTTTTTTAAGGTATTTATCCTATACATGGTTAAAAGTAATGCTTTACATCCACTAGTTTTTTAGTTCTCTTGATTGAAAATAATACAATTTTACCATGGATGCATTGCCTTATTTTTACTCCATTGTATGATACCATACTCAATAATAAATTGGAGTCAAGATCCTTTTTATTTGTGTGTGCATGCACTTGCTTATGTGTGTGTGTTTTATGTACATTTACATGTACACACACACGCACATATAAATTCATGTATGCGTATTATGCATATGAATATGGTTTGAGTAAGTGGTCCCCATTTCTGTGTGTGTGTGTGCGTGGGCATGTGTGGGTGCGTGCCTGCATGTGACTTATGTATTGAATATGTATACGTGTGGGTATCATTATTTCTTATGGTGTTTGTTTTTCTGTCTATAAACATCCTATACAGGGTTACTTTGTCATTTCTACATGTGAATTTGGAATATGAATCTTATATCACTTCATAAGAAATATTATTTTTCTTATTGCTAATACAAAATGACACAATTTCTCTTTCAAACTCTTTTAATATGACTTGATGAATTCTTCCACTGGGGAGTCCTCCACAAAGCCATAAATGCCACTTTCATAGCCTTAGTCCCCAAGGTCAAAGGGGTGGAGAAACTAAAGGACTTTTGTCCAATCAGCTTGCTCAATTCCTCCTACAAAATTCTGGCCAAGGTTCTGGCCTCAAGGCTACAACAAGTCCTTCCTTTAATCATCTTACCGTCACAGACAGTTTTCATCAAAGATAGGCAAATCCTAGACAGAGCTTTAGTAGCACACGAGTGCATTCACTCAAGGTACATGTCCAAGAAGCTTGGTCTTATCTTCAAGATAGACTGGGAGAAAGTGTACGACCATGTTAATTGGTCGATTCTTGACAATTCAATGGCTAGAATGGGATTCCGGGACCTATGGAGAAAGTGGATGAGAGTATGTTACTCTCATCCTCACTTTTCGATTCTCATCAATGGAACCCCTAAAGGTTTCTTCCCATCCTCGAGGGGGTTGCGCCAAGGGGATCCTCTCTCCTCTTTTCTGTTCGCCATTACAGCAGAAGTCTTCAATTGTTCAATGTCTCATTTATACCAGGAAGGTCTCCTCACTGGATTCAAGAGCCGTCCCCAAGGCCCATAGTGTCTCATCTGCAATATGCAAATGACACTTTGGTGTTCCTTGAGGCCTCTCTAGTAGAAATTGATAATCTGAGGCTCTATCTCAAAGGCTTCCAAGTGGTTACACGATTCAAAGTTAACATGGAAAAATCAAAGATGATGGGAGTGGCACTCACGGATGCTGAAATCAGAGCACTTATTCCAAATTGGGGATGCAAAGTGGAGGAACTTCCCACAACATACCTTGGTTTACCCTTGGGATTGGGGAAACCAAAAAAGAGACAGTGGTCTCACGTGATTGATAAGGTTGACAAGGGTCTGGCAGGGTGGGAAGGGAGATACCTCTCCATGGCTGGCCATACCACCTTGATAAAAACAACCTTGGCAAATGCTCCGATCTACCTCATGTCTCTCTTGCACATGCCAACCTTGGTAGCCAACTGCCTTGAACAACTTATGAGGAATTTCCTCTGGTTAGGATAGGCCGAGAGAACCAAATAGCACTTAATACCTTGAGACAAGATTTTCTTACCCAAACACCAAGGAGGGCTAGGGATTAGGACCCTTATAAAACATAACCTGATCCTCCTAGGGATATGGTGGTGGCGCCTAGCCACTCAAACAGATTCCCTCTGGGCTCAAGTTGTACGCAACAAATATAGGATTTCTGAAGAAGTTTGGGTGACTGAGAGGAGGCAGCATAGTAGAGCTTTAGGAGCGTAGAAGTTGTTCACCTCCTCCTTCTCACAGTTCAATAAATTCATCAGATTCCATCCAAGAGAAGGAACAAGAGTGCGCTTCTGGTCAGATCTCTGGTTAGGACATATCCCCCTAAGGAAACTTTTTCCGTCCCTTTCCTCTCTTCTCTCCAACAAAGACTCTACCATTGCAGATGAAATGGTACTGTCAGGAGGCCGAGAGTCTGGGACCCCTCATTTAGAAAAAACCTCTCAGACGAGGAAACCAGCCACTTCCTATCACTATCGACAGTTTTACATTCCATCTTCACCTCTTCACAAAGGAGGGACTCCATGGTATGGATTCTAGCCCCCTTTGGTACGTTCTCGGTGGCCGCATCGCCTCATATTCGGCCGCATCAGGCATAATGTGCTGGGTATCACATTGCAAATGCCCGCATATACTCTCTGGAGAGATGCGTTCGCATATGCACCACATCTCTCGGCTGCATCCCGCAAAGGGCACATAATCCCTCATATGCGGTTTGACAATTTTATGAAAATGAACCCCTCAGGCAGGGGTATTTAGGACTTTTTGACCCTCGAAAAGGGGGGGTAGTAAACCCCCAAACTTCATTTTTCAGCTACATCCCTGGCTTTTTTTGGATTGAATGAATAAAAAAAAAAAAATGGTGGAAAATTTGTTTTGTGAAGTTGTTCGATTTTTGTATTGATTGATGCATGGTTGTTGATTTGTACCTTTTGAGTGTTGATTTGTATCCTTTGGGTGTTGATTTGTGGAAGTTTAGGCAAAGTTGTGACAACAAATCGAGGGTTTCAAGAGCCGTGAAGAAATCGATACAAATTTTTGCTTGTGGTTGTTGATTGTTGAGTGTTTTATGAAGCTAGTTTCAAGTTTCTAGTTTCTATTAGGGGATAGTGGATACAGAATCTCTGACATATAATACTTTTGGAGTTAATGAATAAACTAAATACCTACTATCACATATATCACCTCCATATATTTTTTTATGTATTAAGCTAATTTTTTAGATTTTTTAGAATTTTTTTATATATATTGACCACATCGCAGCGATACACCCTCATCCGGACCGCATCGAGCCACATCTTCGCATCGACTCCCCCAACGTATACGGTCGCATCCCACATTTTAAAACATTGATTAATTTTATAGGATCTTTCTTTATCTGTTAGGTACTAATTATGAAAGTTGGTGTGAAAGGTTGGCATTAATGAACTTGGGATTCTGCTCCTGGCATAGGGCTTGCAACATGACAACCTCCAAGTTCCAGCTTACCTGCCCAGAAAGGATAAAAAAGGAAAAAGCCATGAGGACACTTTTTATAACAACATAGTAAAATGGTGACTGTAAATAATAAGAAACACTGACCGGTTTCTCTATGTTCTTGTCATTCCCTTATTGGCCAATATATTTTATAACTGGTTGGCCTACCTTTGCTCCTTAAAATCTAACTATTGAAATTGTATTGTGTAAGAAAATGTTCTGTAATTGATTCTACGCCCATTGATACTATGGTAGGTTTGCTAGCTATATTATATCCATCAACTGGAATAAAGTCTTGCAACAATCACTTTTTCTACTTTGTTTCTGGTCTATGATCCCTTGTAAAGAAACTCCTGTCGTTCTAGTATTTGGATGGTTCCCATTGATCTTAGCCGTCATGAAATGTTGTTTTGATTTTGTGACTAAAGTGTGAAGTATAGTGGTAGTGTAATAGATGGTCCTTTGGGCAACTTGGAATGTGATTAAGTCATCAGTTGCACTCATAGGCAATATTAGGATTTCAAGTTATGATGGAAAAGAAGAAAGTAAATCTATTTTGTCATGGACGATTCACTCTTGGTTAGAACATTGAAAGGTTGATTTGAGGTTTCAATAATCTCCTTGAGGATAATTTATGCTATTGTGACGCGTTTCAATTCATGTATTAGGTTATTAGAGTTTCTCTACTTACTGTTCATTCGTGTTTGACATTGCCGCCCTTGGGAGTTATTGGTCATTATTGTGTTCTAAGGTACCCTGTCCTCAGAGGCTAGCACAATTCAAATCATTATTTTCAAATAAAAGAGGATCCAAGAATGGCTCCGGTATTAGTCACCTGGTTGTGCTGAATTGTTTTCTGTATATTTACTATTCTTAGAGGTATATATGTACAATGTACTTTTTGTATTCCCATGTTGGTCTCCAATGGCTGTTTCTTATGACAATTAGTAGAAAGGATCCTTCAATGTGTGAACCATTTCCAATGGCAGACGAATGGTACCTCATTGAGAAGATGGTAGCGACCATATAATGGATGCAAGTGGCATAGATTATGCTACCAATCCCTACACATGCACACACAAACAATATTTAGGTGCTTTTGGCATTTCCTCAATTTACTTATTATACAATCCCTGTCTTTGGCTGTGCAAGTAAAACTTGAGGCTCAGTTTTACATGGGTGAGTCGACCAAATGAAAAGAAGGAATTGCTCAGTGCACTGATAATATTTCCATAGTCAACAATTGGTGGCTCGGTGACAATAATAGAGAACGGCATCTCTGCCACCCATTGATAAAATACATGAAACTAAACCTAGGCTCTAATATCTTGGTTGTATCAGTCTTGCTACCTTCTTGACTAGTCAATCACTTCTCCACTTCCATTCATGTAAATGGCTCCGGTATTAGTCACTTCTCCACTTCCGTTCATGTAAATGGCTCCATTATTAGTTCCCGTTTCTTTGAACTGCTCTTCAGTTACCCCTGCATGCAAATTACCGATAATTAAATTGAAAATGGCAATGATCAAAATAAATAGAAACAGTTTAAAGTGGCATAAATAGAACTATTGCTGTCTCTAAAGTAGCAGTGAGCATTTGCTTGCGTAGACAAATTGATGTGAGATTTCAACCTTTGGTGAAAGCATGATTTGGAATATCACATTTCCAGTCAGCACGTATATACTGATTAGCTGTTTTAAAATGAACTATGGATGGAATTGATATGATTTCTGACTGAAATTTGAAGAAAAGTTTTTTAGCATATTTGTAGTGCCAGTATTCTTCAAATTGAAGATCGAAGTGCTACTGAAATTCCACATATCAGCCATCGATATTTTCACAATTGAAAAAGAAAAACTCCTTTTAAGAAATTAATTATTCTGAAATTTAGTTTGAGATTTGATAAGAGAAGGGTAAAACTATTCTTTGAGCTGGTGGGGTACTTACCTTTGCCCATTGCTGCAGTTGAGGAAATACCGCCCTGAACTGTCTTGAGCACCTTGTCATAATAATTAGCACCAGACCACTTCTGATGCGCGAGTGTATCAACCCCGTTGTCTCTCTCCTCCCTCTGAATCCTTTCCACATAAGCAAGCATCCCCCTCCCTGCGAAATCCTTGGCAAAAGTGTCAATGACTAGTGCATTTGCATGGAACCCAGCAAGAGTTATGAACTGCCAACAATAGCCCAACCTTGCAATCTGAGGTATGAAATCCCTCATCTGTGCATCAGTCATCCCTAATGCATCCCAATTGAAAGAAGGAGAGAGGTTGTATGCAAGCATTATTTCAGGTTGCAGTGACTTAACCCCTTGTGCAAACTTGGTGCACTCAACCAAGTCAGGGCTCGAGGTCTCCATCCATATGAGGTCAGCATGAGGGGCAAAGGCCCACCCCCTAACCACTGCCGCCATCACTGAGCCCTTGAACCTGTAAAATCCTTCTCGGGTCCTTGGCAGATCCCAGTCCCAGAACAGGTCATTCAACCCCAACTCTTCCGCTCTCTCTCTAGCCTTCTCGTTAGAGAGGCAGTTATTATACCCCAAGACAATCTCCCACTCATTCAATCTCCTCCTCCTTTCTTCCCCTCCAATATTCAACCTGTTTATCACATTCATGACACATTCAGAGAAAGTCATGAGGCCGGCCTTAGCCAACCACTCGTCTTCTATGACTTGGAGCTCCAAACCAGTTTTCCCAACTGCCATGGCCTCTGCTAGGAGAGTAGCCAAGGCTCTCCCCTTAAGATCAGGGTTTGTGACCCCCAATATGAACTGGTGATCCCTTGGGTCCACATTTGTTTGGATGAGGTTGGCGGCCACCGCATCGGTGCGAGCCACGAGTACAGTCTCAACCCCCATTATGTCGAATTGGAGCCTAGCAGCCACAAGCCGGTTAATGTGCTCTCTTACTGAGACCAACACTTTCCCAGCCATGTGGCCACACTTTTTGGTCACAGATGCTTGGTCTTCAATGTGGACCCCAGCTGCGCCCCTCTCCACAAAGAGCTTGCAAAGCTTCACTGTGGCAGTGGCACCACCAAACCCAGTATCTCCATCTGCTATTATAGGCTTCAAGTAATCTATGTTAGGTTCCCTAGCCCTCTCTTCTCGGCTCATATTCATACGAGCCTCCCTTTGCTTCCTATCATGATATTGTTGAGCAAAGAAGAGGTGTTCAACTTTGTTGGGGACCGTATCATAGGGGTAGTCAGCTAAGTCAGGGCCAGGCTCATTGGTTGAGGTGTGGGTGGATGAGCACTGCCACCCAGACACGTACACAGTGTCCAGGTACTTGGCCATCATGGTTACTTGGACAGGGTCAAGGGCACCAAAGGTCCTCGAGGCTGTCTTGTTTGCTTGGTGGGTTTTTAGGGTTTGCCAAAGCTTCTTGGCGAGCTCGTTTGATACATAGGTTTGTCTCAGGCTCCCCCTCAATGCCACCACCTCTCTCGCAGTGTAGGGGCGGCGGGTCAGCCGGAACCTCTCAGAGCTCCACCATGACTGCACCTCAGCGATTTCTGCCTCGAACCTCCCCTCCTCGTCTGTCATCTAGCAACCATTTCAAAAAACTAGGATTATTTACAAATATATGCATATAGCTCAGAACTTAAGAGAATCATCTTATCTACTCGTATGCACATGTGGGGATTTTATACATGATCCTATGTTTTAACCAGTGTTAAAAAAAAACGCCAATTCGATCCGGAATCGGGTATCGGCTGGGTGGTTCCGAATCCAACTACAAAACGGGATCCGGCCATGCCTGCACACAAAATCGGTATTATGGTGTCATAAAACCGAGTATTGCCTTGGGAGGGTACGCTCTCACATGCTTCATCATGCTTTACAAGCATGCTATAAAATAATGTATTGAGGAGGCTTTATTCACGTTAAATTTCTTTTATTTTTTCGAAGTGGGATTTGAGCATGGTACATATTGTGAATAAAAAATAATATGGTATAGGCTTGAAAAGGTAATACAATATAGCCCTTTATTATAAAAGGTAATACAAGTGGTGTTGTGGTGTAGTCGGTTATCATGTGCATCTTACACCCTAAAGGTCCTTAGTTCGAACTTGGGCAGTACCATCTTATTTTTTTATCAAAAAAAAAATAGAACGTACTTGGGCAGCACGATCTTCTTAAGAAAAAAGAAAAAAAGAAGTAATACAAGTATTTTTTGTCAAAAAATAAATAAAAGGTAAGACAACAGGTATCATGTTTTTCAAGCACGTATTTGAGCTGCAATTATCGCAAGCTTAAATTAGATAGGTAAAGGTAATACAATATAGGCTTGAAAAAGGTAATACATGGTAATACAATATAGGCTTGAAGCATGTTAGCTTTTTTTCTCTCATATATAAATGCCTATTAGATTTTTTTTTTATTTAGGAATAAATCGTCTAATTATATTTTTTTATTTTTATAACATGGTGATCTTTAACATAAATTTAGGAATATTAATTTAAAGATAGGGTTCATATAATGAGGCCTTTTGAAATCTCTCCTTCTCTCTCTACTAACAATCTCTTCCACTAAATTTATTCTAGGAACCTAAAAAATTAGATTTTTGAAAAATTAAATTGTTATTTTGAAAATTGGTATGCATGTTAATAAATTCTACATTGACAACCAAATCCTGTATTTTATTTATTAATTAATTTGCATTATAAATTATGTAATGTACTAATTTTTTTTTACAATTGTCAATAATATATTTTAAATTAGATGATATTATAAGATATTTTCGATTTGTTATTATTTGTACAGTAAAATAATTATAAAATGTAAACTAACAATTTCAATTTCAGTATATAATATTATAGTTAGGTTGTAATAATTTTGGATTTAGTTAGTTAGGTTGTAATAATTTGGGTTTTTCTTTAGTGGATTAGATTTTTCCGCCGATTCGATATTTTGGTGGCCATTTTTTTATCGATTTAATCCATTTTGATTATATACTTTATCTATGACAATTTTATGATTTTTCTTTTGTGTGATGTAAATTTAGTGGTTAACATAAGTTCATATAGGGAAAAAACATATCAATATTCGCATATTGATAAAAAAAATGAAAGTTAATAATGTAGTACCCCATTTTTTATTAGATTCTTAGAAAACATTTATAATGATTTTTGATAATTTTTTTGGATTTTTTTATTGCCGAATCTGACATATTCGGTCGATTCCAGATCCAAGCCGTCGATTCATCGATCCAGATGGGTTTTTGGAGTGCTCAATCTGGGGCACCGATCTGTTTTTTGAACCACTGGTTAAACAAAAACCACAAAATCGTTTAAACAATGGTTTAAAAAACGGATCGGTGCCTCGGATCGGTGAATCAGCGATTCAGATTGGGAATCGACCGAAACGATTGGATTCAGCCTAAAATCATTGTAAATATTGTTTTTTAGGAATCCAATATGAAATGGAGATATTACATTAATAACTTCTATTTTTTTTTTAGCTATATGCAAATATTTTATATAAAAACCAATATAAGTATATGATTTAAAAAATAAGAACCAATCTAAATGTTTTATAATGTCATCTAATTTTAAAAATCTTATTTACAACTATAATAAAAATAATGCATTACATAATTTATAATGTAAATAAATTAATAAATAAAATACAAGATTTGGGTATCATGTAATTATTAATTATAATATTATAATAAACACGATTAAAAAAATTATTAGAAAATACTTCTATATCATATGATTAAAATTAAAAATAAAACCCCAAAATTTAATAAATTTTGTTGTTATGATATTAAAAAAAATCACCCAACAAAATGAAAAATAAAGATATCAAAATTAAAAAAATATAAAAAAAGCCTATCAACAACATGCGCAATAGCTAACTAATAATAATAATAATAACTAAATGGTAATAAAATCTATCGAAAAAACCATTTTACTAGGACATAGCAAAAAAATTTGTGTGGCCATTTTCTAATTTGGTACGCTAGCATTTAATTAAAAAATTGTGTTGATGCGGCAATAAAAAATTTGGCACGCTAGCATTTAATTAAAAAAATGTGTTGATGAGGCAATAAAAAATTTGGCACGCTAGCATTTAATTAAGAAAAAAGTGTTAGTGAGACGATATGACACGCTTTTGGGATCAAGACATATTAATGTTTATAAATTAATGACATTCATTTAAAATGACTCTAAGGTTCATAAAATTTAATGGCATGCTCATTTAATATGCACATTAATTTAAAATGAAGGTTACGAGATATGCTATTATAAAATGACTTGTTGCACGCGACTTTAATATGCACGCTCAATTCATTTAATATGCACGCTAATTTGATTGGTTGAGACCCGGAACAAAGATTGTCCCACATTGAAAATACAAGGAAGGTTAAGTTAATATATAATGAAGTTTACCCATTAGAGATGCATGAACATGTCGTGAGCAAGCTGTATGAATGCTTTCGTGTAGAAAGAATTTTTGTGTCCAGATACTTGATATGGATCACATATCTGATTTCGTGTAGAAAGAATTTGTGTCCAGATACTTGATATGGATCACATATCTTGATATGGATCACACTGGATAGGATCGGTGAATTTTTAAACACCGGATTGGTGAATTTTTAAACACCTGCTTTAACATATGGAAAAAAACTTACCATCACCTACATTGAAATCAAATCATAGGAAAAGAATGATTTGAAATCAAAATCATGCATGTCAATAGGAAAAGAATGATCGGTATGGTCATTGTTCTGTATGGTCATAAGTGTCAGCATCATCCAATTTGCAGGTTGGAAAAAGATGGAGGGACCATGGGATGTACAATTTCATAAAAGAGTTAGACAGTCTGACCCTCAAGACCATCCTCGTATAGGTCATTGTCGAAGTCCAACGTACATTTATGAGAATTTATAGTAAATAATCCAGGGACTACGAAATTTCATAGACCACCCAAATATGATGAGACACCCTGTCCATTACCAATTACCTCGTAGACTGGTTGCATACCCTCGCAATTATTGTCCATCATTTTAATGGATCGCAATTATTGTCCATCATTTTAATGGATGTGATGGTATGTTTTTTTTCATATGTTAGAACCAGTTGTAGACTGGTTGCATCCCCTAGCAATTATTGTCCATCATCTCAATAGATGTGATGGTCTGTTTTTACGAAGAATTTGGTACAGAAAATCTTTCAAATTTAATACATTATTACAGCTAGCTCAGAGTTCAATGCATGGCTTTAGAACAAGCAGATATGATCTAATAGGAGTAGACTTGGTATATGATTCCTGACTACCCAACAGGCGAAATTGATAAACTTGCTTCTGAATCTCTCATTGTTGGTTTACAATGAGAGCTGGTCTTTCAAGGTATCAAAAGCCCTCCACTTAGCTACAACCCTAACTATTTTCTTTGCTGAACAACATCACATGAGAGAGAGAGAGAAGCAAAACAGAGAAGTAAAAGCTTTTTGCGCTCACCAGGGAAGGTACTGAGAATGCCGCAGCCATGGTTGGAACTACTGTGTAGAGAGGAAATGAAAATGGTTTCTTTCTTTTTTTGTTTGGGGTAGATCAGTTGAAATGGGAAGGGTTTAAATAGATGATTGTGTATAGTACAATAATGCACCTGCGACAACGTCAGTGTACTAAAGAATTATTTCATTTTGACTTTCAGTAATTGTACTTCAATAATGCAATAATTTTTTACTTTTGACTAATATTTACTCAATTGAAATAATGCACTTGCAATAATGCTTTGCATTTCCCTTAGGGAAAAGTTTATATAGAGCCTAGGCTCTAAACAATCAAATTAGAACGTCCCTCAAAAAAATTTCACTAGAAGAGGTTGTTTTGATGCTCAAATATACTTAAATTGATCATCTTGACATCAAGATGCCTAGATTTGAGAAAAAAATGGATTTCAAGTTTTAGAAATAGTGCATCTTGTTATGTATTTTTGGACTGTAAATTTTTAAGTTATTCAAGTTTTCATAGATATTTTTGATCTACACGGTTTTTTATGCTTTAAATTTTATATTTAAAGATAATAATATATTTTAAAGCTAGTCAAAGATTTTCAATATTGAAACTACATTTCTCGATACTATTTGAAGGTGGGTTCAAATTTGATTGTTTAGAGCCTCGGCTCCATACAAAGTGCACCCTTTCCCATATAGCTTGAGCTTTATTTTCCACTAATAAGAAACGTGTTGCACACGGATCAAAAGCACCAACTATAAAAAAGAACTCTCTAGATTGAAAAAGGGAAAATATCTCCCTATCCTTTATTTTTGGCTTCCATTTCTCAAGAGATCCAAGAATTTAAACTATTTCTTACGGCATAAAGTCTCTATCTTTTCTATCTTCTTACCCCCTAGACCCCTTTGATTATACATTATTGACCTAAACATTTTGTAAAATGACATCATCTCTATCTCTCTTAAAACTCCGTATCTCTCCCTCCTCTCTCTCTGAAAACTCCCTCTCTTTGAAAACTCCGTCTTTCTCTCTCTAAAAAATCTCTCTCACCTGTGTCATCCTCTCTTTCTCTCTGTTATTTGGGCAAGAGGAGTAAGTAATCTTCTTGAATACAAAACTAACTAGCACCAAACCTTACTTCCAATTCAATCCATTCTTTCTCCTGACCTACTATTTTTTTTTTTCTCTCTCTCTCTCTCTCTGTTTTTCTGCAACATCCATAAGCCTACGTTGAGGTGGATGGTGCCTGAAATTTTTAAAAGGAGGGAACAGGTCACGGCCTTTGATATATGGTCTATTGGTTGTACAATCGTTTTTTTCTCTCTTTCTCTGTAAGATCCACAAGCCCACTTTGAGGTGGATGGCGCCTGAAATTTTTAACAGGTCACGGACTCTGATATATGGTCTCTTGGTTATAAAGTCATTTTTCTCTCTCTTTATCTGCAACATTCATAAGCCCACTTTGAGGTGGATAGTGCCTGAAATTTTTGAAAGGAGGGAACAGGTCACGGTCGCTGCAATTTCTCTCTAATATATCAGAGTCTGTGACCTATTGGGTCCTAATTTCTCTCTAATCTATCAGAGGCGGTGACTTGCTCCCTCTTTTTAAAAATTTTGAGGTGGAAGGCGTTTGAAATTTTTAAAAGGAGGGAATAGGTCACGGACTTTGCAATTTCTCTTTGATATATAGCCGTCGTGACCTATTCCCTCCTAATTTCTCTATGATCTATCAGAGGTGGTGACCTGCTCCCTCTTTTTAAAAATTTTGAGGTGGATGGCGCCTGAAATTTTTGAAAGGAGGAAACAGGTCACGACCTTTGCAATTTCTCTCTGATAGATTAGAGGCGGTGACCTGTTCCCTCTTAATTTCTCTCTGATCGATCAGAGGTAGTGACCTGCTCCCTCTTTTTAAATATTTAGGAGCCATCAAAGTGAGCTTGTGGATGTTGCAGAGAAGTGGATGTTGCAGAGAAAAGGAGAGAAAAAAAAGTAAGGAGGGAACAGGTCACGACCTCTGAAATTTCTCTCTGATATATCAGAGGTCGTGACCTGTTTCCTCCTAATTTCTCTCTGATCTATCAGAGGCGGTGACATGCTCCCTCCTCCTTGAATTTTCAGGCGCCATCCACCTCATAGTGGGCTTATGGATGTTGTAGAGAAAGGGAGAAAAAAATAAAATAAAATAATAGAGTGGGCTTTGCAGAGAAAGAGAGAAAAAAAAGAGTAGCGGGTCAGGAGAGAGAGAATAGATTGAATTGAAAGTAACGTTTGGTGCTGGTTAGTTTTTTATTGAAGAAGATTACTTGCTCCTCTTGCCCAAATAACAGAGGCCCCATGCACCTCAAAGTGGGCTTATGGATGTTGTAGAGAAAGAGAGAAAAAAATAGTGGGTCAGGAGAGAGAGAATGGATTGAATTGGAAGTAAGGTTTGGTGTTGGTTAGTTTTTTATTGAAAAAGATTACTTGCTCCTCTTGTCTAAATAACAGAAAGAAAGAGAGGATGAGAGAGGTGAGAGACAAAGTTTGAGAGAGAGAGAGGGGAGAGATACATATTTTGACAGAGATAGAGATGGTGTCATTTTACAAAATGTTTAGGTCAATAATGTATGGTCAAAAGGGTCTAGGGGGTAGGAAGATAGAAAAGATAGAGACTTTATGCCACAAGAAATAGTTTAAATTCTTGGGTTTCTTGAGAAATGGAACCTCAAAATAGGGGTTAGGAAGATATTTTCCCATTGAAAAATATAAAAAATTACAAACCATATAAATAGGCACAATGATTACTCACTTGCATTAGATTATAGGAAAATTCATTGAGGTTGTGAAGTACTAATATCAATCGTCTCTAGCAAAGTTAAAATAAAATTTAAAATCATAAAAGTTTGTAATTCAAAATATGAAATTTCTTTAAAACTTTTAAAAATAATTTGCAGTATAGTAATTATAAATAAAAAGTTCATAAAATTTGAGAAATAATAAATCAAACCTTACCAAAATTCATTAAACAAGACGAAGCTTTTGTTAATAAAAACTTTTAAAGCATTGGCCACTAATAATTTTGAAAAGTATAATCTTATTAATAAATACGTATGAAATTTTTTAAAATTGGTATCCAATCTTTGCATAAATTCTTCTTCCTTAATGCTGAGAAGGACAAGTATAGTCATAATAACGGAAAGCATCACCTCAAATCCACGTCTAGAAAGCACTTTCGGCAACAAAAATCTCCATGATGGCTCTAAAATCGATCTTCAAGACTGACAATAAAATTTGAAACTAAAAAAATTGTATAGATCTTGTAAATCTTTAAACACTTGTTTTTAGTGTGAAATGGACAGTCTAAGATAATTTGTTAGTATATATCCTATTTTTTGGAGTTTGAAGTCCTAATTTTTTTCACAACTATAATGTTCAAGTTGAGATGATCGATATAAAGGTTTTCTAATGCTGGAATTCCAATATTTGATGAGTTATTATGTAAATATTTATTTATTTTGATAGGGTTGTAGCCCTATCAAACCATTTCCCTTCTTAATAGCTCACCGATAACTTCATGGCATGGCGAACTGCCATCGTAGATTGACGATATGGCTGTAAACAAAGATAAACTAGGTCTCTAATCTCAAATTCGCGTTCTAAAAGGTGACGATCTGCTTGTTGCTTTATACAGTTTCGGGTCCCTTCCACATTCTGTTTTAGAAGTTGGAGAACAACCTCTTGAGTTTATCAAACTTCTATCCACATCATTACCATTAGTAGCTCCTACGACATACGGTATCATTGCCGGAGGTGGCTGGCCATAAACCACTTCATATGGAGACATTTAGGTGGAGATGTGAGTTGCAGTGTTGTACAACCACTTTGCTAATGGCTGCCGCTTGGCCCAATATTTAGGTTTGTCCCTAGTGACACATCGCCAATATGTCTCGAGACAACAACTGACAGTCTATTTGATCGTTAGTTTACAGATGATAAGACAAGTTCATTTGTAGTTGTGTCCCTTGCAATCGAAAGAATTCTTGTCAAAATTGACTAATGAAGACAGGATCATCATCGTTCATGATTGACCTTGGCATCCTATGTAACTTGAAATTGTTGTCTAGAAAGGCTAGGGCTACTGTTATAGTTGAATACGAGTGAGACAACGGAATGAAATGTGCATATTTGCTCAATTGGTCAACCACAACATAAATTCCACTCTTCCCAAAAGAGACCCGCAACCCTTCTATAAAATCTAGGGAGATTTATGTCCAAACTCGATCTGGAATGGGCAAGGTTGCATTGTACCTGTAGCCGCAGTTTCCCCCCTGTACCTTTGACAAGTATCACACTCAGCAAAAACTTGCAAACATCGTGCTGCATCACTCACCAATAAAATGATCTTGCCACCCTCTGTTGTATCTTATGAACTCTTGAATGTCCTCCTTCTGTGCTAGAGTGAAATTATTGTAACACTTAAAATTTTAGGGGTGACTTAGTTTCTAGCACGAGTCGTTCCTTATAACACAACTCACCCTAGGTCTAAGTGAAACTTGGGTGTGCAGTAGGGTTGCGTAAGGGGTATTTATTTCCGTCAAGGGTAAAATCCATCTGTAGTCGTGAGAAGTCCCATAGTATGGTGCCAAATGTAACTAGCCATTGTATTCCCAAGACCAAATCACATCTGCCGAGTGGCAGCAGCCGCATATCAGCTTGGAAAGTGGTGTCATGCATCACCCATTTGAGATCCTTGCAGACGACATTTCTAATTAGTTTTCCACAGTCAGCTACAACTACATCCAAGGCCGAGGCAACTTGGACTAGACAACCGGTTCTTTTAGCAACTTCGGGGTCTAGAAAATTATGTATGCTTCTTGAATCTATAAGAACAACAATATGTTGCCGTTTGATAAAACCTTGCACTCTCATGGTTTGGGTTGAAGTTGACCCAGATATGGCATTCACGGAAACAATTGGGTCCTTCTCGTTGTCAATGGGGACGTCTTCTTGTTCGACATCGGCCTCATCACCACTTCCATGGACAATCTCAACATCTGCGACATCAAGCAAGTATATTGTCTTTTGCAACGGTGGCCTGGGGCATGCTTTTCATTAAAATTGTAGCATAGCCCTCGATCCCT